TTTGCTAATATTTTGCATGCATTTTCTTGAGGGACACTAGCATGTAACGGGGCTTGGTAAATTTTTTTCTTTCTATAGAGGGTCAAGTAGGAAATGTTTTTGGCTTTGTGCCTAATGTAGCCTCTTCTACTGGGGAAAAAGCAGGCATAAATAATAGGTAAATAAGTTGGTTGTCATGTTCCAATAAAACGTTATTTACAAAAGAGGTGACCAGCCAGACTTGGCCCGACGCCCCTGGTCTGCTGACCCCTGGCTCCACAGCTCCTTTGCCCATAATGTCTCTTCCTGGCCTTGGCCTTGGGAAAACCAGCTTGGGCAGGACAAAGGGAAGTATGTCCTCTGCCTTTCTTTACTAAAAGAGTTTGGGTAGGATTAGTATGATTTCTTCTTTATGACGGAATTCAAAGTGAAGACCCCCTAGTCCTGGGCTTTAATTTGAAGGAAAATTTCAAACTTCTAACTCAATTTCTTGTTATAAGTTTATTCAAAATTTCTCTTTCTTCTTGAGTCATTTTAAATAATTCGCTTACTTCATTTGTCTTATTTTTGGGCATAAAGTCGTCCATACTATTCCTTTATAATTTTAATTTCTGTAAGACACCAGGCATGATGACATGTGGCTGTAATTCCAGTGACTCTGGACGCTGAGGTAGGAGGATCACAAATTAGAGGCCAGACTGGGCAACTTAGTGAGACCATGTCTCAAAATCAAATAAAAAGGGCTCGGGATGCAGCTCAGTGTTCGCCAAGCATGTGCAAAATTAAAATAAAATAAACCTCTTATTTCTGTAAACCTTTTCTTTTTTTCTTTTCTCTCTTTTGGGTACTGGGATGGAACTCAGGGCCTCACACATGCTAGACACACATTCTACCAGTGAGCTTCAGCTCCAGCCCAAATTTCTGTCATCCTAATTTTCTAGATCAGCCTAGATGCAGTTTCCTGGTGTATGGACCCTCCTGTCAATATTAAGTGTTCTTCACTGGATTAATAATCTCTCTCTTTTTTAAAAAAATATTTTCTTAGCTGTCAATGGACTTTATTTTATTTATTTTTATGCAGTGCCAAGAATCAAACCCAGTGCCTCACACATGCTAGGCAAGTGCTATACCACCGGACCACAACCCCAGCTTTAATAATATCTCTTGTCTTAGTCTTGTTTGATAGTATCCTAGCTGCGTAGCTGCTGGACCTTTCATGGTTTGCTTTCAAACTATGTGTGTCTTTCAAATCTAAGGTATGCCTGTCCATCCCCACCTTTAGATTAAAGTTTTTATCATTTCCATTTATCTATTTACATGCAGTTATTCATATTTGCTGGCTGTCCACCTCATTCTATTGTTCTTTTTATTTGTCTCACACATATAGTTTTGTTTCCCTGCTAAGTTGCCGTTTATTATGTTAAATAAGTATTTAGTGCATTTTTTAATTCCTGTCTTTTTAAAGATATTTTTTGAGGTTTTCCTGTTTCTGCTTTCCCAGTACTGGGGACTGGACCCTCTTAATTTCTACCACTGAGCTCCATCTCCAGCCTTTTCACAATTTGGAGGTAGGGGTCTTGCTAAATTGCCCCGTCAGCCTTGAATTTGGGACGCTCCTGCCTTAGCCTCCTGAGCAGCTGGGATTATAGGTATGCACCTGGCTATTTTTTTTTAGTTTTAGGGGTTGATCTAGGGATTATAATGTGCATCTTAATTTATCAGTCTATTTTAGAATAATAATAGCTTAACTTTGGTAATATAAAGAATGTTGGTGCAGTGATTCTTCTTCCTCTTTCTTTATTTTGTGTTTTTAAAACTCTTTCCGGTGTCGGGGATAGAACCTCACGCACGCCAGGCAAGGGCTCTGTTCCTGAGCCACATCCCCAGTCCAGTTTTGTCCAGTTATTGTCACAAATATCATATCGTTTTTTTATACATCTATTTATAGCATCATGCTATAAATACTGCTTTGTACAATCTTATATTTTTTTTTAGTGAAGAGATAACATGAGAAAAATATGCTGGTATTTTCTATTGATGAGTCCTTGTTTCCATGTCTTCTTTTAATTTAAGCCTGGTTTCTTTTGAATGTATTTAAAATAGCTGCTTTGAAGTCTTTGTTTATAAATCAGACGTCGAGACAGATAGTTTCTGTCCTCCCTTGCTCTGGAGTATGCTTGCGTTTCTTCTTTCTTTGCTCATCTCACAACTATTTGTTGAACTCCGGAAATTTCAGACAATAATTGTAGCAACTGTGATTCTAATTTTTTCCCCTGTTGACAGTTGCTCTTGTTTTGCTTGCGAGTTGGCTCAGTCACTCCCTGCACTAAATCTGTCCAGTCAGTGTCCTCTAAATGTGCAACTCCACTTAATTTTTTCCTTCCTTTTTTTGGGTACTGGGGATGGAGCCCAGAGGCACTCAACCACTGAACCACACCCTCGGCCCTATTTTGCATTTTATTTAGAGACAGGGTATCACTGAGTTGCTTAGCGCCTCGCTGTTGCTGAGGCTGGCTTTGAACTGGCGATCCTCCTGCCTCAGCTTCCTGAGCCGCTAGGATCACCGGTGTGTGCCACCGTGCCTGGCGTTTTCCTTCCTTTTTAAACTTGACTTCTTCTGTGGTCGTGTATCTTATAGTTTAAAATTCAGCCCCAAACTGGTAAGAGTTTGTGCTTAAATACTTTGAATCTATAAGTCTTCCATTCTCGGCTGCAGATGCAATCTTCAAGTCCACCTGAACTTGAGCTCCTTCTGGGCCTACTGGCCTCTCCTCTGCGAGTCCACACAGGCTCCACTGGCCAGGGCTGTGTATGTGGCTGGCCTTATTAAGGCCCATGGCCGTCTCAGTTCCCAAACTCCAAGTCTGCTGCCCAGCATTTGCCCAGCTAGGACTAAACCTTGGACCGTGGGAGCCACTGGCCCTCTTTGACACAGAGTGCCACTTTAGCCAGTCAGGCTCTACATCAAGGGAGACCCAGGAGGCAGTGACAGGGACGCTGCTGGTTGTCACGGGCCGCCAACCCTCATGGAGCTCTCATGCCAGAGCTGGGGGTGGGGGCGTTCAGAGAAAGCCTAGGTAAGTACCACCAGCTCAGTTTCAGTCGGGTTCATGAACACGCCAGTGTGTCCTAGGCCCTTGGTCAGTCTTCAGAGTGCTGAAGGTGCAGTGGGAAGTTTTATTCAGCTTCATAGTTTTTTTTTTTTTTTTAATTCAGATAAAATAAACATAGCAAAGTTTACCCTTTTAACAATCTGTAAGGGTACAGTTCAGGGGCATTAAGATTGTTGCATTCATATTTATGTGCAAACATCACCACTGTCCACTCCTCACTGTTCCACTTTCTGTCTCTATGTGTGTGTGTATATATTATATATACCCTATATCAGTGAAATCATATAAAATTGGTCATTTTGTGTCTGACTTCCTTTCACATAGCATATTTTCATGTTTCACCCATGTTGTAGCATATTTCTGAATTTTATTCTGTCTCCTGGCTGAATAATATTCCACTATGTGGATATACCACAGTGTGTTTAACCATCCATCCATGAACAGACTATATAGTTGCATTTTGAGGAGGGAATTTTTCCACTTCTTCACTCTCCATTCATACTACACTGTTTCATTATTAGACTGTGCTCCATGAAGGGAGCAAAGGAGCTTTTTAAATTGATTGCTCTACCCCCTGCACCCATAGTAGGCACTCAGTAGATACCTGAATATTTAAGGTAGGGACCAGGAGAATTTCCTCAGATCTGTTTTAAGCCGGGAGAGTTAAGGCCAGATGTATTTTAGGGGAAAAAAACGGTTGCCACTATTTGCTGAGCACTTACTATGTTGCCCATGCCAACTTCTTTATAGCCTTATCTCATTTAATCCTTACAAGCAACTCTTTGTCTTAAGAATGTATGAGCTGGAGAGGCTGAAGCAGGAGGATTGCAAAATACAAAAGACATAAATTGTATAATCAAAATACTTTTTTTTTTTTTTTTAGAGAGAGAGAGAAAATTTTTTAATATTTACTTTTTAGTCTTCGGCAGACACAACATTTTTATTTTTAGGGGATGTGTGGTACTGGGGATTGAACCCAGGGCCTCCTACATGCTAGGCAAGCACTCTGCCGCTGACTGAGTTATATATACCTCCAGCCCCCAAAATACTCTGTTTTAAGCACTCACTCAAACGAGATACCTTCCTTGCATGCTCATTCGGGGATGTGTCCTCCTTAGGTGGGATGATGCCAAACTTAAAAAGTACCCCCTCAAGTCCTCCATCTACGTTTGACTTGAAGTAAGTTCAGTGTGATGCGCCTCCGATCGACTGGTATTCGGGTCTGGGGACGAGGGCCTTGCAAGGGACAGGTGGAAGGGGCAGAGTAGGGGCAGGTCCCAGTAGATGCCCTGTGGTCCTCGCAGGCACCAAGAGGGAGGTCCAGACTGGGGCAGGGGCTGGGAGCAAGATACTGAAGGTGGGATGGGCCTGCTGATTTCTATGGGGGCCAAAGGAGGCTGGACGAGAGCTCACTCCACCCTTCTCCCGGCGGACGCTTCCCCGCCCGGTTACTCACCTTCTCCGAGGGCTCCAGGTTTCTCCACACACTGTTGTCTCCGTGGTCCCCGCGTTGCTAGGTTACCCGCCAATCTCAGAAGGCGGGACTCGGTGTCTGACAGACTTGCCGTTTCACCATTCAATTCCCGGTTTCTCTCTGTCAGCTCCACCTCCTGGGTTCTGACCAATCAAGATCGTCGTCCCTCTGACGTTCCACCAATTGAAAGACCTGGGACTCCCTCGGGTTCGGACCGAGCGAGTAACGCGGAGAGTAGGGGAGGAAGAGGGAGGCGGAGCTTCTTTGTTCCACCTCCTCCCAGAGAGGCGGGCGGCGAGTCCGGCGCCAGCAGTGGGCGAGAACTGCGGAAGGACGCGAGGCTTGACCAATCAGAGCTCATCTGGCAGCCCGGGTGGCCAATAGGCCACGGCGGAAGGGAAACGGGGCGGGCCGGCGGGGTTGAGGGGCCGGTAGGCGGCGGATCGGAGAGCTGGCGCAGCTGCTGTGGTGGCAGCAGCTCAAGTGGCGGTGGCGGTGGCGGCTGCAACAGCTCTGGACTTAGGGCTTTGGTGGCGGCGCCGGCGGGCGGCTGAGCTGCGCGGTGCAGACGCCGGTGTGCGGTCCGGGTTCCTGGGGCGGCGCGTGTAAGAATCCGAGGGTGCGGGGGCTTGGCCCGCGGGAGAGGGCAGGGGTCGGGGGTCAAAGGTTGCCGGAGTAAGGGGTCGCGGCAGGGCAGCGGGTGTGGGTGGTGGACAGGGGGGCTCAGGGCGATCTTGGGGAAGTCGCTGCGGTGCTTCTCCCTTCCATCCTAGGCTGGCACTTTGCACCCCTTTTGCCTCCCGCTTTCTGGGGCGACCCCCGCGTGGGGACCCTGATAGGAGCCTGGAGCACCTGGAGCTGGCGCTCCTGCCTCTTCCTTCCTCAGCCCGCTCATCTCCCCGCAGTCCCCAGGTGACCCCGCGGGAAACTCGTGCTCGGGGCAGGCTGCCCCAGCGGACGGCCGGTGTTGGCCAACTCAGTGTCCCCTTTCTCCAGGGGTGACCTTTCGGGTCCTCTGTAGAGGGAGAGTCGGAGCCTTTGGAAGGAGTAGTGGACTAGGACCCCGGAGTCCCGAGTTCCAGCTCTGCGGGTCCACTGTGTGACCTTGGACAATTCCCTTCCCCTCTCTGGGCCTCATTTTTCTCTCTGTAAAATGATGGGTTTGAATTCAAATTGGGGAACCGGTTCTGGGAGGAAGAGGTAAGGTTTAAGCTGGGAGAGTCCCTGAGTTCAGACTGCCCTAATTGAAATCTGGCTGCCACAACTTTCCTTGCTGTTTAGGGAGTTGGGCAAGTTGACCAATCTAAGACCCAGTTTCCAAATCTGTAAAGAGGGGTGTTTGAATTTGTCGGCAGCAGTACTGTCCACATTTTGAGCCTCATGATCCTTTTTGTGGGTGTGTGGGGTCTCAGCTATGCATTATAGGCTGCTCAGTGGTACCCCTGGCCTCTGCTTACTAACAATCACTCCCAATTTATGACAATCAAAATGTCTCCAGAACTTGTTAGTGTTCCCTGGGCCACATCACCCCAGTTGAGAGCCACTGAACTAGGGCAACACATGCGTGTGTTAAACAGCTAAAACACAAACACTACTCGCTGTGATGTTACTTTCTGTCGTGACAAAGTTTAGAAACCTCTCCTTGATGAGTTGAGAGGGTTAATAGTCTCCTGTCTTCAAAGTAATAACGGAGAGATAATTATCAAAGCTGAGAAATGTCTACAAGGAAGTTCTTCAATATATTCTTTCTACTTTGTTTGAGAATATCCATGATAAAAAGTTAAACCAGAGACTGAGGATACAGTTCAGTGGTAGAACATGTGCTTAGCATGTTTGAGGCCTCGGGTTCACCCTAGCACCAAAAAGAAAAAAAGTAAAAAAAAGAAGAAAAGAAAAAAAAATGTTGAACCAAAACCAAAATGAAGCATAATTATTAAGACAGCCTAATATTAGGTAGGGTCTCATTTGAGATTTCCTCTTCTGCTTCCCTCTAGTGAAATCTAAAAGCAAACAATCCCCAGATCTGGGGAAACTTTAAAAAAAAAATCCTGTCACAGGAAGTCTGCGGGGCGGAGAGCTACAGGCTTAGCCATCTACTTCTGCCTCCTTGTTTTAAAAAGATGTGCTGTTCCCTGTGATGCACAGGGATCTGCTCAGAGGTATTCGGTGATTCATTAAAGAAAATTACCCAGTTGCCATTCAGCGGGTCCATCTGGAGGCAATGTTGATTGAGCTCAGAGGTCACAGTCGAGGAAAGATCTTGCTACTCGATTTTCAAGTTCAAAGGTCTTTAGATGGATCTGCTGAGTCTCGGCATTTCTTTTGGCCCTCCTAGGCGGAAATGGGGAGGTATAAATAGAAACTCTAACAGGCTAGTTCTGAGTGTTTTAAATTGGGAGTTAGGGATGAGCGCTTCTGCTGAGTGATATGGACATCATTTAAAAAAAAATTACTTTCTCCTTTTCTTTCCTCCTCAAGCACCTAAACCTTAGGAGAACAATGTCTGTATGAGAAGGGAGTATGTTGTTTCCCACCATGGTCCAGAGTAATCTTGAGAGTGTGTGTGTCTCAGAGGCTGCTTAGTAAAACCGATATGGAAGTTGTTAGTCAAAAAGAAAAAAAAGTGAAAAAAGAGATCAGCGATCGATCGTGGATGACCTGTCATACTAACTCTTCATTAGCATTGAAGTTAGGTGCTGCCTAACTACAAGAGCTTGGGGACTTGGAGGAGTTGTAGCCTCCAATATGGGATTGGGGTCAGGCTGCACGGTTCAAAGCTTGGCGTTCTATCTGTGTGTTCTTAGGAAAGTTATTTAACCTCTCTGTGCCGGAAGTGTCCCCTTCTGCAACTGTCATAGTAATTGTACCTATCCCTAGGGTGATTATGAGGCTTCAGTTGACTTTTACTTGTACAGAGCATATACTCACTAATTATTTCAATGCTTTTTTTTTTTTTTTTTTTGGTCTTCAAAATCTTTATGACAGTCACACCCAGCTAAGTGTGAAGAGGGGTGGAGGTGGAACCGGTCAGCCCTATCTCGCTCTCCAAATGTCATTCCCCTAACTGCACTTTTCATTCTGTGGCTGCCCTTCCCCATGTCGTAAAGTGATGACACTTTTGTGACTATTTTTAAATCGAGATAATAGTTCACGCTCTGCGCGTTTACCACAGCCTCCATAATTCAGTGGTTTCGAGTGCAGTCATGGGGACGTGCCGCCATCACCAATACCAAATCCAGAACCCATTCGTCCTCTCTGGCTACGTTTTAATAATTGTCTTTCTTTTTTATCCTCCAGACTCTAGAAGATGCCCCTCATGGAGGAGGTTCTGAGAAGCACCTCTGGCTCGGTGACTGTGAAAGAGCAGCTGTGCGAAGCCCTGGCCATTGCCTCCTGAGGACCGCGGGGAGGAAACCATGGCCGTGAGCTTAGATGACGACGTGCCCCTCATCCTGACCTTGGACGAGGGTGGCAGTGCCCCTCTGGCTCCCTCCAATGGCCTGGGTCAAGAGGAGCTGCCCAGCAAAAGTAAGACAGTGGACTGAGCGGCAGGGACCAGGGCTTTTCGATTTCAGGGTGACAGATGACGTGGGCCTTGGTCTGCTAGAAGAGGCAGGTGCCCTTTGCCTGTCCCCACACTTGAGGCTTCTAGTGCCACAGCCCCACCATTGTGGAGCCCGGGCGGGGGTCTGTGTGCCTCCCGGAGCCCAGTGGGCCTTGGCCACACCCGCCCATCACCTGCAGTGCCTTGGCTTTTTGTCCATGGGTGCTTGGCAGGGACCTTGGGCCAACCTGCTCCTTGGCCAGCTTCCCTGTCCCATTCCTTGTTAAAAAAAGAAACAGATTTCGACACCAGCCTCCGTCTGTCCCAATCTGGAACCGTTGGCAGGAGGAGCAGCGCCGACTGCTTCTCTCGGCTCCCGCTCAGTCCCTGCGAAGCCCGGGCAGGGTGGAGGGGCGCATCGATCGCCGTCCATTGATTTGAGGGTTTGGGGTTTTACTCTGTCCTCCTCGGAACCAAAGCCTAGCACAGTGCGAACCCCAGAGAGGTGGTAAGCTTTAAATTTTTAAAATTTTAAGTGAGTCTCTGGCACAGCGAGAGGCCTTCAGATGCATTCTGGTCCTGCTCCCGAAGGCGCCTGCTGTCTCTGCGCAGGCTGCAGCTCAGACGCTTAGAATAACTGGCCTTTCCAGCAGGCTCCTAAGGCTTTGGGGCTCCTGAGCCAACGGACACCGTCTGCCCTTGTTCCCACTTGCAACCAGGCGGCCTGAGCCTGGCTCTCCCATCTCCTTTGTCCAGAGGAGATGCAGCTGGGTGAGGGAGCTCTGCCACCACCTCGGGACGTGAAGGAGAGCAGTGTCAATGGGGGCATGGGTGTGCCCCACCAACAGGCCTGTCTTTACTGCAGCGTGCTCACCCCCATCTAGGGTGGCAGGGCTGGCCTCTGAAGGAGGGTTAGCACACACGCCAGATCTCCCTTCAGCGCCACCAGGCCAAGAAAGCAGTGGTTCCAATTTCTAGCTCCAGCTGTTTTCTTTCTAAGATCCCCTTGCAAGGTACAGAATGCTCCCTGTTTCACAGAGTTGGAAACCAAGGCTCAGAGAGGTGGAATAACTTTGCCAAGGCCACGGAGCTGGCAAGTGGTTGAGCAGAGATTTGAACTTAGGACAATCTGCCTTGGGTTTCTTTCCCTTTTCCCCACATTTCCTCCTCCTCCTGTTTCTCCT